GCCCCAAAGTTTGGAAGCAAGACGTTCAGAAGTTTCTTGTGCACAATGACAGGCAAAACAACGGCGCCTGAGTGGCTAGCAATTCACTTTAAAAATAACATCAGTTGCCATCATGAATTACCAGTTTCTTAAACCACAAATCTAAAATCAGAAAATGTAAGTACGGTAGGACCACTGCATCCATGAAATCCGCATGCAGTTTCCAGTACCTGCTGCCTGAAATTATTATAGTAAAACCCCCAGAAATATGTTTCTAGGGTGTATTACCAAAATTGGCCATGAGAGAGAACCAGAGACCATGCTATATATATTTGGTCCAAAGCATCCAGAGGGGTCCACCAGAGATGGGATCTTCATTCACCTGCAGCCATAGACACCTGTCCTTCACAGCCTGTCCGATTTGGTCTTCCAGGGTTGACCATTAGACTTCCCTGCCCAATAAGTGGAAGCGACATTTTGGGAGGGAAAACGCAGGACGGACAAAGCCTTTCTGAAACACTGGAGGGAGTTGGAGCCTGGGGCGCTTTGCCTTCAGCTGAACATTGTGAGTGGGATTTAATTACATCGTATGAACCCTCAATACCCATAAATACTTATGCATGGCTGCTATGATGTTCCTGAAATAAGGACCTAAATAGAAGGGCAGCATAAACTGGATCCCACCCCCCCATGCCCTTATAGCCCCAAGAATTTCACCACGGATCATTCAATGGCAAAATAATCTCACTTTATCAATATTTGAACATGTATCTTTTCTCCTCTTGGTTTGGTCCCTTTTCCGGATACAGAGCTATAACCCTGTACGGGTGTATCTGACTGCTCCGTCCCTTATTCAGGCTCATCTTATTCAAAGGCGGGCAGCAGCCAGCCCCGGTGACACTTACCGCTTCGTTCTCCTTCTCGTAAAAGTAGATGTATCGGTTCAGAATTTCTATGAACAACTGCACTTGGAGCGAAGGGTCCATGCACTGATTGGCGATCTTCAACGCCTTTTTCAAGCACTCCATGACTCGCTTCCCTCCATGAAGCTAAGGGGAAAAAAAAAAACACAAAAGCTAGTTGGGATTCTTTGGATCAGCACACATTTAATTAAAGGCACGTGGGTTTTTAAGAATTAGCACCCAAGGTGGAACAGAAGGGGTTGGGGCCACAAGAAGAGATCAGGAGGAACCGCCTGGCACCGCACAGACAGTCTATCGGTTTGACCGCACTTGGACAGTCCAAGCTTTCCAGCTCTCCTCACCTCTTCCCCGTTCTTGTCTGTGTTGCGGCCGGACCAGAAGAGGTGGGCGCAGGTGCTGACAGCCCGGCACTGGTCCGGCTTCTTCAGCAGCTTGGAAGCGGCCAAGGCGCACTGAGTCCGCAGAGGCTCATGATTCTCCTCTCCAAAGCACTTCATGCGCTCGAAGGTCCCGATGATCAAGGTGATGGCGGCCAGCTGCGCCTTTGAGTCGCTGATTTCGTCTTCATACAGAGAAAACGCCTGATTTCAGGCAGGAAAGGGGGTTGGACGGAGAGAGGAAACGGGGGTGGAGGGAGAGAAGGCCAACAATAATTCTGATTACCATGTTTCTTTTTCAAATTGTAATTGCTCCCTTCTGCAGAGGAAAAAAAATAATTGAGCGCTCATTATATCATCCCCCAGCCTCCAAACAAGGTAGATAAAAAGGAACACAGGCCGCCACGTACTTGAAGCGATCTTTCTGCCGTCGCCGGCTCAAGGGCCTGCCAAAGGGGGGGGGCTCTTTGCCAGATGGGGAAGTGGGTGGGGTGTGGTTTGGGGAAGCCGTGGGGTGAACGGCCCACCCTCCAAATGCCAGCACGGCTTATGGGAATTGGCCCATTCACACTCCCGGGCATCTCTTTGCCAGATGGGGAAGTGGGTGGGGTTTGGTTTGGGGAAGCCGTGGGGTGAACGCCCCCCTCCAAGTGCTAGCACGGCTTGTGGGAATTGGCCCATTCACACTCCCAGGCACCTCTCAGTAAATAAGATCTCAGGTAGCAGGTGAGGGAAGAGGTAGCAGGTGAGGGACCGAGATCTATCCCTACTCGTGAGTCAACAACATCTGCCTGGATGGGAACAGCAACCTGATTCTGCATACGGCGACTTCAAAAGCACCAACACGGCCCTTCCCAACTGGTACCCTCTAGATCCCCGCTCGTGCTTCCAGTCAACACAGCCACAGGCTACACTGGCCGAGGATGATGGGAGGGTGTAGTCTTAACGTATCTGGAGCACGGATGTCGGCAAGTCTTTGGGTCTTGAGTCCCCATCCCTGATCTAAAAGGTGCCGGCTGAAGGCCGGTTAAACCAATGTTTATACAGACCGGTGTTATCTGTCGGAAGGTTTGTAGATTTAAAAAATCAAGCAAAACAAACTCGTCAACCGCTAAGGCAGAAAGCATGTCCTGGGGAAGGTCGAGATGCAAGAGAGAGTGGAAAGCAAGGGGGGGCTCAAAAGAACCATTTCAAGGAACCCTTTCGGCCCCTACCTGGGACATGAATTCGTAGGCCACCGTTTCGTGGTTTTCAAACCCAATCTCCCCGGCCGCCAGCGCCCCCTGGAGGAAAAGTCGCAGCGGAAGCTCGGCCAGTTCCGCCTTGATCAACGCGCTGATGGTCTGGTGGGCGAAGGTGAAGATTTTCTGGCATTTCTTCTCCCATTTGTCATCCTTCAGGGTGGGGTGTGTGTGGAAACACCCACAACAGAACGGGTCAGAGAAAAGGAAAAGACAAGAGTCAGAAAATCACGACAGAAGGAAAACGTCAACTCTGCAAGACTGGGCCAGGTGGAGTGCAACATCAATGTAAACTCTGAGGTCCGAATTAAGTATGGAAAGAAAACTAAATGTATGCATATTTATTAAATGTTAGATTCTACTTAGGGGCTACAAACACAGAATGCCACCCCTCTCTGAAAATTGTTCTTTGTTTTATTCCCTAATGAATCTGTTTTTTCTATTACTTTCAAGAAGTTCTAAAAATTGTAACCTTTAACCACTGAACAAATGTATATTTTTTTCTTACATGCTGTATTTCTTCTAAGGGGCTAGGCTTTGTCATTTTACTCCTCCGCGTCTAACCACTCCCGTCTATTTTAACTAAAGAAGAAAAATAAATAAATCATGCGCCTTCCAATTTATTAACTCACCACTTTAGCATTCTCCTTGTAGCGGAAGGCCAGCTGGTAGGCAGCAAACACCAATGGTGGTAACGTGAACCGGATACGCTGGTTTCCACCAGCACCAAAGTGTTTCCGGGCAGTATTTAAAATCTAGGAAAAAAGCGAAAAGTTGAAAAGGCTGGCCCTTGATCAAGAGGGCCCCAAAAACCACCCCACCACCCCGATTTACAACCAAATTGTGCATCAATTCAGGTTTGGAAGGAAGCCATAGATTGTTCAAACTCTAGTGCGACAGGTAAGTGATGGACAAATTTCACCCCCGTGTGGTGGATTTAGAATTCCCCCGAGGCCAGAAAAGGACCCTCCAAGCACATCCAGCGGGGGCATGAAGACTGCAGAGATTAATCAGGATTGTCTACTTATTTCTGAAAACCCATGAGGCATAGAGCAGTTAGGACACCGGAGGCCTGCGTTCAAATCCTCGCTTGGCCATGGCAACTCTACAGACCACTAAATAAATCATCATATCATAGGCAAACATTTATGGTCTTGATCCACAAAAGCTCACATACTGTATGATGGATTTCTTTCCGGCGCTGCCTACTCTTGCCTTTGTGTTTGGTGTTCATTTCACCGGAAGGAAGCCATAGATAAAGCCTGGAGCATCTCCCATACTTTGAAAACCCCGTCACTGTAGGTCAGATACAACTTGACGGGCACATAACAATACCACTGCTTCTCCAAGGTACGGACAATTTATTACAGCTCCAGAGGGATTCAAAAAACGGGCTGCAATTTCATTTCCTTTTCTCGGCTTAAGGATTACTTTTGTTACACGCTCAAGGAAATTGCTCGCGCCACAGAGGAAATGTAATAAACATGAGTCGCCTCCATGAATAAGCCTTCATTGTGCCAAGCGGCTCTCCTGTTTTTTAGGAGACGTATTTCTCCCCCATAGCCCACATTCTCCTCCATTTGCATTTCTGAAGCCTCCTAGGATTATTTAAAGACACCATTCCACACAAATGGCTCCCGCCATTTAACAGAAAACATTAAGGATGCACGGAGTGGGGTAGTGGCCAGGAAGTTGTTACACAACCCCATCGTTTAATCTCCTTTATCCAACAAGTTAGGAACAAAGAGCAAGAGAAGAATGGCCTCTATATTGTCGCTCCCTCCTGCCACCACAGCAGTCCTGGCTGGTCATCTCAAATTTTACGACCTCTGCTTCCACGTCCAGCATTCAACACAAGCCAGGCAAGGTCAAACCTGTGTGCATTCCCCATTTTTGTGGTGCCAAAGACAATATTAATTTCTGCACCAACAAAGGCTTTATCTTCCTATAAACCTGTTCATTTGCATAACGTGGATGATCTCTCCCTCTCTTATTTTGCACAATTTGTTATAGTTTTCTAAGACTTGTGAAAGTGACAGAACTGGCTGAGGCCTCAGAATCCTATCCCCCCCCCCCAAAGTCTTCTTTGGCCTGTGAGCTTTCTAGCATATCTTGCAAAGCCACAAGGACTAGAAACCTGACTCTTTTAAGAAAGAAACTATCAGCGCACCCAGTCCCCAGACCCAAGACTTTAGAAAGTCCTACCAGGTACTGCTGATTGGGATCTTCGGAGCGAAGGAGGTGAATAAACCTGCCCACCAGGCCTTGTTCGTCGGCAAAATCTTCGGGATCCGGATCTTCCGCGGGTTGATCGGGCTGGTCCTGGATCAACGTTGACACGAGGTTCATGATGGCGTCTACCTGCAGAAGGCGGGCAATGCATTAGTTAAGTCCCGCTCCAGTTGGCCGTGGCCCTGAAGATAACAAGCAAACACACCAGTCTGAAGCAGAGACAAACAGCCCGGGCAACCCATGAAGGACTCCGTCACCTGCTCCTGGCGACCCACCACATCTCTGAGAAAGCCATACCTGGAAGTGACCTTTGCATCCACTCAACCCCTGTCTTCATATTTCAGGCAGAATGGCCTGAAGAGAGAGCGTGCCCATCACCGGCAGCAATAAGAACCTCTCCTTCTCATTAAATTTCAAGCCCAGCCTCATTTTGGCCCTCTCCCAAGGCCATAGGGTGGTGGAGGAGGCGACCTTTCCATTCCACCTCCCAGGATGGCCGACCGACAGCCCCTCGCGATCGTGCCGTCTCCCCACCTGATCCTGGGAGACAATCTCAGTGTTGTAATCCAGCACGTTGCTGAGCACGTAACAGCTCATGCTCTTCCTGGACTCGTAGTCAAAGTACTCGAACAGCGGGTGGAAATGCTTCAGCTTCAGGACCGTGAGGAGGTTGTTGTAGGTGTCAATGGGGATCTTCAGCAGCCTCGTCAGCTCCTTCGAGACCGCGCTACTCGTGGCGATGCTAGAAGGACGTGAGCAAGGGAGAACGGGTCGGACAGGCATCAAATCTCTTCCGCTTATTGTTTGCTCAGAAGGCAGGCACCCCAAAAAGCAGAGTGATCTTTCACACGGCCAACCTTTATAGACGACCGGCTGTCAGTCAACACGACAACGCTTCACAACGGAGAGCACAGGACTCCACTGAAGACAGGCTGGATTTTAGCCTTTGGCCAAAATCTGGCCCATTTCACCCGCTCGGGTTCCCCCGCCAGGCACTGAAAGGGCAGGAGAATCTGGCATCCACTTACTGCTCCAGGTTCAGCTTGTTAAAGATCTCCACTGTCGTCTCCAGAACTTTGTCGACGTAGTCCACGCGATCCGGGTAGCACTTCATCGCCAAGTTGATGAGAGAGACTTGGAGGGAGACGACATCTTCGGAAGGCATGTCTTGCCGAGACTAAAGGGAGACCAGCACAGACGCCCACAAGATGAACCTCGTTATGTTTCGTTATTTATAATTCCACTCATGGAGGCCGCACCCAACTACACACAAACGAACGAGTCACACTCCCCCTGAATAGTTATGTGCATTATATGTCGTTTGGGATGCTCTCTGTAGGCAAGTACATCGTTAGCTAGGTGCAATTTGCTGCATCATGTTAGTACAACATTTTGGAAGCCCTTGACTACAAACATATTAAGAAGCACATGATGGAGACCCATCCCTGCAGCTCGTCACTTAGTCGCAATTGAGTGCAGTGAGTTAATGCAAGTCTTATGCCAACACCAACAAGATTCTGGCTATACACAACACACAGAGCGATCAGATGGAACACCGTGGGTGTGGTTGCTATTTGTTAAACTTATATTTTCCCATGAAAAAAGCATGAATAAGACTGAGAGGGTGTACATATACAGTGGTGCCTCGCTTAACAAGCGCACCATTTGACGAATCTGCATAGCGATCTGTTTTTCGCAATTGCTAATGCGATCCCATTGCGATGTTTTAGGTGGCAAAACATTGCATTGCAATGATCGGTAAGCGTTTCGCTTACTGATCTTCGCATTGCGATGTTTCCCCAACAGCTGATCGGCGGTTCCAAAATGGCCACCGGAAGAAGAAAATGGCCGCCCGCTCCATTTTCGTGTCCTGCCCTCGCTTACTGAGGCGGCAAAAATGGTGGCCGAATGGGGAATCTTCGCATACCCATGAGTTTTGTCCCTATAGGAATGCATTAAACGGAGTTTAATGCATTCCCCCCCCCCGCATAGCGACGTTTCCAGATAGCGACAATTTATCCGGATGGATTAACGTTGCTATATGGGGCACCACTGTATTAGATAGAGATTGACCTCTTTAAAGCCAGCCTTGGGTCTCCAGATGTTCTTGGATGAAAACTCCCGTAAATCCTGGCCAGCACAGTGAGGGGTGAAGGCTTCTGGGAATTTTGGTCCTAGAACATTTGGGGACCCCAGGTTGGGAAGCAGCTGACATACAGAGAGATCAGCCGGAAAGTGTGAGGAGTGTGCTTATATACCCGTTATCCACTTGTGTCGTAAACATGAAGGGTCAGCTCTTTACGTCATACCTGGAAACAGGTGAACTGGCAATATTTTGCTCCCTCCATGAATCTCTGATGCCCACCGCCCAGAAGACCTGCCCACGGGTCACTTTCCCTGGGGCCAGGTGGCCGTCAGACCCAAGGGATGGACTGATCACCAGTCTTGGACCCCAGAAAGGTCAAGCCTTGACCCCCCCCCCTTGGGTCTTAGGAAGCACCTGAACTCTCGGCTTACCTGTATGACCGTGGCCACCTGCTGGGAGAAGATGTCAAAGAGCTTGATGTCAGCGGGGATCCCGGGGCCGTCCTCTCGGTGGGCAAAGAGGGCGAGCCTAAATCCAGAGAAAGAGTTTTGTACGACGAGACCTCCAGACTGATGAGACAGGACAGTCACTCGATACAAGCCCTGACGGACACTCGTCTAATCACATCAGAAGGTGGTCTTCTCAACAGACTTAGTGGGGGGGGCACGCCTATCCGCACCCCTCATCGCCACCGCCAATCGTCACTCTAAGTAAGCAAAGTAGACCTCACACAATTCCTGGGCTAGCACGGTCAAAGCACAGTCAATCAGCACATTTCTGGTGCTCCAAAATGTAATTTTTGCAAACTGTAGCCCAGAGGGCCACAGGTTGGCTCACCCCTCCATTAGAATAGAGATAGCTGGGGGGGGGGAGAGCTGCCAAATTATTTTTGGTCAGCACTCTCCTGTCTTGTGCATGTACAAAAGACATGGAAATCCGTAACAGGGAAAAGCTATAGGAGGTGTCCCGACCCTTTTCTGCTTTTCCCTCTCGCTCCAACCCAAACACTCTGTACGCACCTGTCGATTAATGCAATGATTATATTTTTCACATTCACGTTTTGGTGTAACTCTGCACATGCTCGTAGAAAAGGATTCAAGGTCTGGAGGTGGAATTCATCAGGGAAGACCTACAGAGGGGGAGAAGAGTCAGCCGAAGGCTCCATTCAGACAACACACAGGTCCATGCCCTTGGGGCTGTATTACACAGGAAGTTGTCCAGAGAGCCAGGCTATAATAAATTGAACCCGGTCGACATGCTTTCGTCTTTTTACCCCATTACCCTATGGCTACTTCTGACTTAAGACAGATGACACCCTCACTCCCAATGTTGTTGGGGTAAGGGAGTGGACCATGGAGGAAAAACTGGGCTAGGGAGAAACCCTTCAAATCAGCGAATCTTTCTGAACCTCTCTCTATGGATAAAAGGCACATTTAATGTTTTGGCCGTTTGAGGAACGTCTGTGGTTTGAGATACATTAACCAAGTCACTCAGGTCAAGAGGCAAAACACGTTTCCCTTTGCGAAGAGGGTCCTTCCCCCAAAGCGTTCTCTCCCATCATCCGCAACGATGAACTAATCACAAGTCAAAGTAAGCCCATCATCATGCGCTGAGTTCTCATTTCCTCCGGGCTTCAGATCTCGGACCAAGTGGAAACAGGGAAGCTCCGAGGAAAGGGCGCAGGTCATGGGGCAGCCTTCCCCTGTACAGGTGAGCCAGTTTTCCACCTGCAGCTTACCTGTATGATACATTCCATGAGGTATTCCTGAGCCAGAGCATCCCGACAGTTCACTACTTGCTCCAAGATGCCAGGCAGGACGATCTGGGAAGAGGAAACGAGAGTTTTGAACCATTCCTCCACTTTCTGACCCTGCCTGCTTACAAGACAGCATCTATCTCTG